TTTAGAGTTTTAAAATTAATTGAAAGGGAAGGAATAATAAAGATTAGTTGGTGTCATTGTTAAAAAGACTTTGAGGGTGAAACTTAACGACCTGTTTCGAACAAGCTGGAATAGGAAGGCCAGTAATTAAAAAAAAATGTTGTTGATATCTTTGAGTAATTTGTACGCTCTATATTTTTTTAATAACTTTTCTTAAAAATATTTTCTCGAGGAACCATTTCTATTTTTCGCAAGTTAAGAAATATTGTAATTCTGCTTCTTCCGGTCAAACAATGTGAAATTTTCTTTTGGGCTCCTTTCATGATTTGTATTCAAGAAGCCGCCCACAGGTTTATTCGTCTACCATTCTGCGCGAACGATTAATCTGTCTCATAAAATATTTCTAACGCGTATTTTATTAAATAAAAAGATATGACCGTCATAGAATCAAAATTAATGGCAACATTAATTGTCGGCCGGCTCTGTTCTGACGTTTTAGTGCTACGTTAGACGATCCTTAAGTGAAAACTTTCCGCGGAACCCCGCTGACAAGGGTCATTTAATTAAAAAAGCTAGTAAATAAATAAATACCACGGTTCCCGTTCAATATTTAACTTTTGTATCCCGATATAAAACTTCGAGAAACGTCTGAAGAACTCTCAATATTTATTACTTTTTGGAACGTTTTGTTAATTTCCTTTGATTTGTTATACCGAATATTCGCTGTAAACAATGTTTACGACCTTTGTGAAACATTTTGTGTAAGACGCAAAGGAAATTTTCGCCGAATGTTATTACGCCATTTGAATGAGCCTTATACAATTAACTGTTTGAATTGAAATACTCAACTTTACAGAAGCTTTCAGAAGATTGAAAGCACGTCTTGAAGGTGACGGGTTTATAGAATCAATCAACAAAGTTATTTAACTTGACAATTGAACAACATTCCTCGCTGAGATAAATTACCTTTGTAAATGGTAAAAGCAAGCGGAACGCAGAGCTGCGGCATTGTAGTTCACCGCAAAGCACGTTGTTTATTATGCATGCAAGTTTATGAAAAGAGTCTCCGACGCGGAGACGCGCGTTATGCTCAGCAATATTGTAAAATGTCAGATTTATGCGGAAATGCTACATTTAAAATTACACAAAACTTTTGTTCAGTTAGTTATCAGCTGTGTTGTATCGAACGGCTGGATTTAGTGAATCAGAATGAGGGAAGCATTGTTCACGTGGCTACGCGGCTACGTGGCTACGCCTTGCTACGGATTTGAGCGCTAATCGGCTGTAGCACGTGTGTTCGGATATTACGAGCGAACCGCGGTTCGTGCTGAGTTTCATAATGAGGCGATTAATGCTCAGCTATATGTAGATACATTATGTGGCATACGCTAATACAATGTATATGGGCACCATCTTTATTCAGCCGCGTAATACCTTGAAAGTATTATTATACACCATCGATTAAGTGAAGGTAAAGGTCACAGAATGTTAAATAAAAATCTTATCTGCCAAAAGCAGTCGAGTACTTGTTGATATCTATAAATATCCCGATCAAAATTCCCCAAGGAATGCAGTAATTCCTCTTTTTTATTCATTAGTACGGAGTGAAAGCCCGTCCACCGGAATTGCCTCCCAGTGGGGACGATTTATGTAGACTATAAACCTGACAATGCCACTTAACAGAACCTGAAAATCGAGCGATATTTTTGGAACATCGTCATTAAAAAATGTAAGATTTTTGTATTACTAAGAAACGAAACAGTGTGAAAATTGGTTTGGTGGCAAAGATTTTTCTTTTTCGTATATTATTTGGTCACAAAGGGTATGAGGATGGTTTCGGGATTGAATGGAAAGTGTCTACGTTGGGTTAGGGAGGTATGGGGAGGCGGCAGGTGGGCGCGGCGGGTGGTGGGGGGATATCGATCGCACGCTGCGCAACAAGTGTCGCGAGGCAGCTGCTGCGTGCCGCCGACACGACGCACGTCGCACGCTCTCATCCGACAAGTGTGCGGCGCCAGCACGACACGAACCACCTAGGACTACATTTAGTTGTGACTCGATAACTTAACTTACTGCCACACAGTGCTCCGTTGCCGAGCTGTGTACAGACCTCACCTGAAACCTTGTGAGATGTCAGTCACCGCGCCCCAATTCTCCTGACGATTTCGCTTCCGCTGCATTTCCACGTTCGCAATCTTAAGCCATCGTACCATTCTTTGTCTTCTCAGTCTTGACTTGTACTTGTACTCTTTGTGAGTTTGAGAGGACACTCGAAAGTAAAAGCCCATTAATCGGATTATTTTTCTTTGAAAGTATTCTAGTTACGCGCTCTGGACACGATCGTCTTACTTTGTCCTCGAACAAACCGAATTATAAAGTTAAACTGTCTTTCGTAGTGTTCTGGGAAATAATGCTGTTGTATTTTTCCGTTTTTCTATTAAAAGTAAGCGTTTATGAGAACAAAATCATCGTTTCAGAAGTTAGTTATTTTATTCAGAGACAATTGTATTACATTGGTACAAACGTTGAAGTTAATTCCTGTATTTGAAACACATAAACATTAAAAGTAATACATTAAACAAGTAGTTGACTATTAAATTGAGTGGTAAATTACCAACTATACACACACTACACATGTCAAATCCTTCTGTGCTAATTTTCACGAACAGTTTCGCTATATTTATACAAAGGATCATAAAAAATGTCTTAGATATAATATGTTGCTATGTATTAACTTCCACAAGTAAATGTGCGCAGACCCCTGCTAAAAGTACGACAAGGTACAAACATCGATAGATCACGTACTTCCTGAAAAACTATCGTCTATTATTCAAATTCAATAATAAATATAGATTATATCTACCTTTCTTCTAATAAACTAACATTAAAACTACATTATGTTTTTAAAACGCAATTGAAGGAAGCGAACACATTTCTAGTCAAGCACAATTTTGGATATTTGGACATAAATATTTATAACAACAAAATCTACGATTTCTACCAACTAAGAAGACTAATCATTTAAAAAAGGCACATCCATATAATTTGAAATATTAGAATATAATTAAGAATAACAGTTCTTAGTTCTATTTATATCTTTGACGAAAGAAATTAAATATTGTACTTAAATTGCAAATGATAAAGCATAGAACAATGCATCTTTGAAATGATTACAGTATTCAAAATTAGCGTAACCTAAGTAATTTATTATTACTCTCAGGAGGTCCCGATGAGATTAGGGTTGCAGCTTTACTAGGGAACAGGTTTCGTGAATTAATTTTACCTTTTGTCGGATTTGGCTTAACTAGTCTGGTAGTATTAAGTTTAAGTTTTAATAGATTCTCAACTTATTGACAACCCTGATCTCACCTCAAGTATACACAAGTTAAATACAATCTTAAAGTATGATAAAGTACGTTGGAGTTCAATAAATAATGAAGTGTTAGTGTAATCAAAATTCTTATCGTGAAATGAATTATTTTATCTTGTAATCTATTAAAAACTATTTGTTATAGGACTATAATAAAATGGTCTATATATCAGGTAAAAATAAATAGGTATAGATTATATTGAGCCAATATAGTTTCTGAATAAGCATTTAAAATTGATCTTACTTACTTAAATTAAAATTAAATTTCACGTTATATTATTTTATTATTGTTTCAAAAAAAAAGTAATTTACAATTAGATTACAGAATGAATAGGTACAGTGAGAACCTTTCGTCTTAATGTTAAAGTTATGATAAAAGTTGTACCTAATAATGTTTAGTTGAAGTCAGGTAATTGATCAAGTCCAAAAACGACAACTTACAAGTCTGTTAAATCTAATACACACTGAATGAATTATTTATCGATTAGTTACAATATTGATATAAGATCCACAAATTCATTAATACTGTTTGGCAAACGGAATGTTTACGTACAACGCTTATATGGGGCATTATTACCGCTACATTAAGTAATCGGATAGCCGTTGTTACCTCATTTGGGGTTGGAACACACCCTCGTTAGGTCATTATTCTTTCCGAAGTAATTTATGTAACGAGATCATTCTACATACGCGTGTCTCTCACGAATATTACCGAAGACAGATCCGATACCGACTTATTACCTCCTGTTGCATGATATCGTGGAACTCAGTCGTGTCTTGACTCCTCCCTCACAAGTCTATTCCTTACCTTACCTATAAGTTAAGAATATACTATAATCCTAGAGTATAAACCAGTCACGAATACCCGTCACTTCTACTTTATCACTTTGTCTACATTGTCGCTCTGTTACACTAGAACCTTAAGATTTAAAGTATTTCTGTATGTTGGCGTTATTTCCACTACTTACCTAGTTACACATATAAAGTAGAAACATCACGAAGGAATGGACAAATCTTAATGGCTCTAAGTATATCACTTAAGAAACGTTTTTATTGCCTAACATAATCGTAAATTTGTGGAACGATGGACTGGGCGGGGCGAGACAGATGACGTCTGCTCGTGCAAATTATTTCACCAACCATATTTTGGGAGTACCTATATTAAATTCCTGTTAGACACTAGATAAATTTAATTATTTATTTTTACATGAAAAAATATTTTTGCAAATTTATACGAAAGTAGATTATTAATCGGGGCTATTATAATTATGTACGTAGGAGATTGAAGAAAACAGCGACGACAGAGAATTTCCATGAACATCTAATACAAAGTAGTCTTGCGGCTCGTGCCTAAAACTAGCATCCCCAATCACTACAAGGAGGCTGTCATGAATAAATTTCGTGCGGTATATCGTGATCACTGATCCAACTCACTGTACACCCAAAAGCGTCGGACCGCAAATAATTTTGTTGGTATGGTGTAACGGGATTTTTGTTTTTTTTTTATTCGCTGCCCAATTTGATTTATTTCTGTTAAATGGATATTCACTATAGGCTTTTCAAAAACCTCTTATTAATGACACTTTACCCAGATAGTTTGATAGAGAATAGTTTCGAGAGTCTTATTTAAACCATTTTCTTCAGTGTAGTGATTAAAAATGCCCTTTTTACGCACGGACTGAAGACCAAATACAAAGTCCACTTTAATTAGAGTTTATAAATAGTTTTATCGGTACGTATAGAAAATTCGAAAGTTACCCGAGATCCTTATCTAACACTGAAAAGAACGGCGCGTGCGTCTTGTCTAAGAGATGACGCAGGAGTTACGTTTACTGTTGTGTCGCTCGCGGATTTGTTGCAAGTGTGCGAGTTGAGCGGGTGACGGGACGTGGGGCGCATTCGCAGGCGGGGTGGGGCTCGACCCCGGGGGTCCCTGGGGCCCAGTAGGAAGTGACTGTCGCCGGCGCCGACGCAGGGCAGGAGACAGATTGTACTTCACCTTGGCCTGCACTAGTAACTCCTTAAAGATCTGCGACACATTCACGTTATCCTTTGCCGAAGCTTCAACGAATCCATTTTCCCAGTCCACAGTCACCACCGATTCCGTTGTGTGAAATTCTACCTGTAAACGAAGACGTGGTTTGTAATACAAAACCATTATAAGTACAGATCTTTTTTGGTTCCTAGCGCCTAGACAATTAAACTTCCGATAAAATAGTAAATAGTTTTTTAACAAGAGAAAAAACTTTTCGTAACGTTCCTAATATAATTTATTCTTGAACCTTTCATTTTACCTATGCTGCAAATATTGAAGACGCCATATTGCTGCGTCACCATTTCACGAAGCTTTTTTGCCTTAATTTAAGGAAATGCAAATCAGCGAAAATGTCGTCCATTTCTAATTCAAAGCTAGATTTAGATTAATTTAAATTAATTAGATTATAAATGTTACCTAAAAGTGAAGTCAACAAGAGCATTAATTTAAAAAAATATATGGTACCTATTTCTATGGTATTGATACAAAATAAGAAATGTAAGATGAATGAAAAATTCGTTTCAATCTTCGTGGAAATCACGCGATGGTAAGGCATTTCCGTGATCAAATTTTAAGGATAGTTGTCAGTAAATTTGCATATCTTTGTCGTATATTGATTTCTGTTTCAGATTAACTCAAATGAGTTTCGTACCGATTTATTACACTAACTTTTGTTTTATGACTTAAGTATTCTCAAAATATGTGCGCTGAAACTACACGAGTCATTCCCAGCTCACGATTCAAGCACGACTGCCTTTAATCAGACATGCGAAGTGAAACTCGGTAAAACTCCTTATATTTCAATTTTCAATCCAAGTTACTAGGTCACAAAACAAATGAGTGCGCTAGTATCTGCAGAGCTGTAAACGAAACAACTAAAAGAGTTATCACTATGATCGTCAATAAAAGCGGAAAGTCAGTCGACTGCGAATCTCCATTAGAGCGTCTGTTCTTCTGTTAAATAAAAACAAGGTTATGGTAGCGCGAAGTGGAGGCGGCGCGGATATTGGCGAGTCAGGCCTGGGGCTATTGTGCGCACTGTTCCGGACACAGCTATCGTGGCAACGTCGAGGCGTGTTCCGGGACGACAAACTAACTTCGTCACGTGGCTTATGAAATATACATGCTGCCGGCAAAGCGTTTAATACTCCTCGAGTTTCAAGGTAATCTCTGCGAACACAGTTTCGAAATTCTCTGATACGAAATTAAATTAAACCGATTTGTTTCATTATCACGATGTGTATTTTACATTATTGATAAAGATCTTGAAAAGACTTGACTGAGAAGAAATATATGTAATTATCTTTAATAAGAGTAGGGCTGGATATTATGATGTACATATATACACACACACATGTTATATGTTTAAATATGTTTTAAAAGTAAAAAACTAAACTTCAAATAACTCTTGCGTCATAGATGCGTTTTAAAACTACTATCAAACTCACAAACAAATGACATTCAGATTCGGAACAACAATTTGTAAATCACACAAGGATCACAGAGTTCTTTGTTATCAATGGACAATTTTTTTTTATTTATAATATTTATATTAACAATCAGTCCCAGGACTATAAGTAAATTGGTTGTGCGGTGTTTATCTATGCAAGAGGTCTCCCCATCGGGAGACACTCCTTTCCTTTCACCATCGTACATCCAGTCTCTGGATGTCGTAACGTTTGAGGCGTCTATTATATTTTATATTTTTCAGATCGGCAGCTAGTTCGTTCGGGCGATTGTCGAGCCGGTTTCTGTAGTTGGCGTATGACTGCTGTATCTCTTTCCAATACTTCATGGATTTCCGAGTTAGTCAGGAACCACGGAGCGTTTGATAGTGTACGCAATATGCCATTTTGTAGCCTTTGTATGATGGTTATACTGGAGTTACAAGCACTACCCCAGAGTTGAATTCCATACCGCCATACAGGTTTCAGGACCATTTTGTATATAAGTAGCTTGTTGTCCACAGAAAATTTTGAGTTACGTGCCATCAGCCAGTACATGTTCCGGAACCGGATGCTTATTTCATCACGCTTGGTTTTTATGTGCTTTTTCCATGTCAGTCTCCTATCCAGATGTATACCGAGGTATTTGACTGATTCGCTCTGGGGAAGAATATTAGTTCCCAGTCGCACGGGTGGACAGTTTCTCTTTCTAAGCGTGACAATGGACAATTTAATAACATAATATAAATCAAGTACATAGACAGTTAGCAAACAAAGTGAATTAAGTAGTTTATAGAGAGTCGGTACAAAACTGGCGCTGTAAAATGGCTCAATGAAAATTCGCACAACATGTGGCGAACAGATCTAGTAAATAGGTTGGCAACACAATAGGTGTTGGCTTGGCAATAGGAAAGTTCTAGTTAGCCTGTAAATTGTACAACGGTACAACGTGCCTGACAATAAGCACTCCACTCGAGTTTCATCAAATTAAATTAACTTCTGTTTCATATATTGCGTGTTAATTTTGTATTTTAGACAACCTACTGATTGCTGAACTGAATCTCTGTTTTATTTGGTCGTATTTCTATTTTTATGTTCAGTTGTTTTTTCTTGATAAATAAGCCTAGTACTTAAATGTATCTTTGTCTATTAACTGATGAGATTATTTCAATGCCATAGGTACACTACACATAAGTCTTTTTTAACCGACTACGGCAAAGCAAAAGGAGGGTTATGATTTTGACAGGCTATGTATGTATGTATGTATGTATGTTCATCTGTTCCCTCGTAACTTTTAAACTACTTATCAGAATTCGACATATGACATATCAAAAAACGTCTCAATTGTCCGCGAGTTATTGGTTATATGAGGTATCACAAAATCTAATGTGGTGTCCTCTAGCGGACAAAACAACCAGAGTAAAAAAATAAAGTTAAGATAATTATACCGTGTTTGGTATCACTTTAAAGCGCTTTACTTGTATATTTTAAATATACTCGTATATATATTTACTTGCATTTTCTTGTGACTTTGCCTGTATTCATGGGTTGATTGCATATACATAATTCACATCTTTTCGTTCATAGCTTCTACAACTTATTATTAGTACATCAATTTTGTTGATATTTTTTATACTCTTTATTTTTTATGTAAAGGCTGATTTTTCAATAGTCATATAAACGTTACCTGAGGAATGAGATTGTTGTTGTCACTGTCTTAGACAAACATTTTGACGCGATAGCATTGAAACTATGATGCTGTATATTATGATGCAGAATAACTATTTAATAATCAGCCCTTAATCAAATAAGGAATGTTACTTTTAACCTATACTGGGGTGACGAGAGACATCGCAATATTGTATCGGAGGCCGTACACCCTAACGTCGTGGTGGCCCAGAGGTTAAGGAGCCCGCTTCTAATGCATGAGGGTGTGGATTCGAAACCTGGCAAGTACCAATGTAACTTTTTCCGAGTTATATGTACTTTCTATGATTATTTAGACACCACTGGCATACGGGGAAGGTGAACATCGTGAGGAAACCTGGACTTATAATTTCTAATTATAAGTTTGAAATCGCTTAAACGCATTGAGCAAGTAAGCGTGGTGATCAATGCTCTAACCTTCACCGTATGATAAGAGGCCTTTGCTCAGTAGTGGGCACTTAAAGGCTGATGATGATGATGGTGGTGATGTACCGGGGCCCGGCCCGAAACAAGAATAGGAACGTGTTGGTTTTTAGTCAGTAAGTTGTCAGGCAAGGTCACCCGACCCAGGGCGGGAAAAGAATTTGGATGTATTTCCTCATTAAAAAACCCTTTAACTATTAAGTACATCACGCTTATAAATAAATACTAGACTAAAAAACCTATACTTATTATCCTACTTAAATAATAAATGTGAAAGTTGAAAACTTGTGAAATGAAAGTTTGTGAGATTATATGTATATGTATTATGATTATAGCTGTGTTTGTGTGATGGAATAACAAACCGTATGTTTGAACCAATTTGGTTGAAATTTATTACGCAGATATGTAGGTGATTGAATTAACACAAAGGCTACTGCATGCTTCTGATCAACGCACTACGCGGGCGAAGTCGCGGGCGGAAGCTGGTATCTAATACTTCTTTGATTCCATTGTAATCACAGTAAAATAAATTAAGTTTGTTATATCAATAACATTTTTAATTGTTTTTAGTAAGAAAATATAATGTCAATTCGTTTCTATTACACAATGTCAATTATTAAACCAAACCCTATTTCCTATATTAACAAAGAATCAATTTCTTTGAAGAAAATGAAAAAGAAATTGTTAGTTCTACAAATTGTTGGGGTTCTGTGCGAACAATTTAATTTTTTAATTGGTATTGTATTGCGAAAGGCATTGTTTTCTCTCGCTCAAGTGAATGAAATACTTTTGCTAAGGGTTTTGTGTTCCGGAGACAGCTTTGCTTTGTAGATCGTACTCAATGTTTCTAAACTATTTTCGTGTTCCCTTACCCAATACAATAAAAAAGTTAAAAGTATTAAATACTTTATTGTATGTTCAGTGTGTATTACTTATACGATTCTGTATTTAAAATGCGAATGACAATAGAATGTTTTTTTTTTATTTACACGAAAGCTAGTGAGCGAATTTAAATACTAAATTTTTTTACAAGGGATACCATCAAATTTCTTATAATGCCCGGTTAGAGATAAGGGAGTGTCAGACTCTTACTTACTACTCTTAAGCCTATGTGTTAGTCCAGGGTTTCACCTACATATCTTCATACCAAATTTCAACCAAATCTCTCCATCCACTTTTTCGTCAAAGATTAGTAAACATACATCTAACATTCGTACAAACTTATTTTTTTTAATAATATAAAAGGATAACATGACTATTGTAGTCTATGTATAAGCCTGATGTAATAGCTTAATAGTGGTAGTTTTTTTTGGTGGATAAAAACACATCCAATTACTCTTCCCGCCTTGGGTGAGGTGAGAGGGTGTGCTAGACTTCTTAAAAGTCAAGTTCTTACTGACTAAAACCCGTTCCTTCCCCTGATCCGCACGAAATAACTTTTTTTATGATCCACAATATATTGTTTCGGCTATGGGTGTCATCTGCATGTGAAATTCTATGTCTCTTAACGCACCCACAACACAAGAGAAAATCCCGCCTAGGGACGTTTTTTTTAAAGTACTCAAACAAGTGTGAAACTAGAAATGGTCGATATGTCAATATTGAAAAAATAAAAAAAATCTGCAATGGAATCAAACACAAAATAATATGATTAAGTTAATTATAAAGAAAACAGAACGACGCGCTGCCAATAATAAACAAACATAATAGTATTATAATTAAATAATTAAAATTAAACAAAGAAAACGTCGAGGGCGTCCTTATTTTTCCTACCTACACAAATTTGTTTTCGTATTTTTCATAATTTTTAATTTCCACCAAGGATCTTCTATCTGAGAATAACATGTTTTTCGCTTCATTGTAATGAAAAAATAATTATGAATTATTTAAGAGACTGTAAATAAAAACCTTTTGGAAAATTATACAGAAAATTAACTGCCTTCGTACCTAACGTATGAGTACCTAAATACCTAACGTAGTTCAAGCACTAATCATATAGTTCGAAAATTCTGAGTTTGTCTCGGCGCTTATTCTCAGAGTAGTCAGATGGGAAATGCCGGCTTCATCTAAATTTACACGAACTCAAAGTGCTGTTTTATATTTACAAAAATAAATTCATCGTTTCATTGATATTGTGTACACCAAAAACCTAAATCAAAACAGCACTTGGCTTCTGTCCGTATTAGGAAAAAGAAACAAGACATAATAATATAATAGCTAATTATTAAATCGTAACATATGTATGTATAAAGTATGAATTTATGTACATTATGTAGCGCGTGGCACAACTAACTGTTACAAACTACATCATTCACGTTAGCTTAATCACTTCGTAAACAGTATTAAATCCTTTGTTTGAAACATAAACAAACCATTGTTTATTACTTAATGTAACTTAATGCGCCGCTTCCACAATAGTCGCTACTTTGTATTACATATGTGTGTTTTCAGCTAAACTTGTGTTTTATAACTGTATTTGTGTTTTTTAAGTCATAACTAGCCTGTAAGTCCACTGCTGAGCAAAGGCCTCTTCACATACGGAGGAGGTTTGAGCATTAATCACCGCGATTGCTCAATGCGGATTGGCGATTTCGAAATTATTATGAGACTAAGTCTAAGTTTCCGCACGATGTTTTCCTTCACCGTGTGTCAGTGGTGTCTAAATTATCACAGAAAGTACACATAACTCGGAAAATGTCACATTAGTATTTGGTATGTTTCAAACCTGCACCCTCATGCATAAGAAGCGCACGCCTTGACCTCAATTTATGTCAACATTATCTCCGTTTAAAAAATATTATTTGATCCGAATAACGAAACTTGTTTCTATAAATGCAAGAGTCTTAATAAATCCTCCTTCCTGCATCATTTCATCTCAAGAGCAATATTTTAGTCGAGCTCGCAACATCCGGGGAGTGTCTAAGTACCTCGGTTGTTAGGTTTCCCTCCGACCTCTCGCTCACATATTGCAACTTCTGACATCGCGGAAATTCAATTCTCCTCACAACACGTTTGAAACGACTTCATAGTAAATGCGCAGTCAAATTCTCGAGATCGCTTTAAGAGATTTTTGTCAGTTATACATATTTTGTATGTTTCTTATTTGCATTCGATTATGGTAGACTGTTTTCAATTACTTGTTGTGCCTATATTGCGTGACTTATTTGCGAAGTGATATCGTTACAAATCTCGATAAGGCAAGCTTTTATCCAACCGAATTCTTTATTTGTCGATACGAGAAGATTTTGTACAGCTTACAGCCGATAGATTTCTTTGAATATTTGAACATATCCCTCCGGGGTATGCGATACGTGACAACTCGCTTGATCCGTTTCACCCGTCACTTTGTTATCCAGCCTTCATCGCACTAAATTGTGTAGCTGTACTCAGCACACACAGATAACAAACATACCTAGCAAATATTGGACAAAAAACAAAGAAAATGATGAAAAGAAACGGTACCTAAAATTACGGACGACTATTTGAGATTGTTCATAGAAAAGACGTCTCTTGACAATATTATAGTGTGAGGTAGAATGAAACCTCATTTCTAGATATTGAACTCTTTGACATAGAAATGAATCGCTTACCTGTCTCGCACCAGTTTCAGCCAGGTCCACTTTATTGCCGACTACTACAATGGGGACGGCGGTGCTGTCTTTGGTTTCATGAATTTGATCTCTCAAAGTCCTTACTTCTGTGAAGCTGTTTGCGTCAGTGATGTCGTAGACGAGTATGAACGCGTCAGCAGACTGCATAGACAGTGTCCTCATTGCTGGGAACTCGTAAGCCCCCGACGTGTCTAGTATGTCGAGCGTTAGTCTCACGCCGGACACGTTAAAGTCCCCGTGATGCATTTCCTCTATGGTTCGTTTGTACTTTGGCGAGAACGTGTTGTATAGAAACTGTGATATGAGCGAGGACTTGCCAACTTTCGCAGCACCTAGTACTACTATTTTATGCCGCACCGCGTTGTTGGTGAGATTGCCACTGCTGGATACGGTGTCCTCCGTCCGCTCGGTCCTGGAATATAAAAACAAATTTACTACCTCGTACGACAATATTATGTTAGGTAACACGAGATTTGATATAAGCCAGGTTTATGGCCGGTTTATACAGGCGATGTTATCATACAGAAGTGAATGTTATTTATCAACAGAATGAAAACAGATCACTAAATTTGGACTCAATATAACGGCTTTAATAAATTATTCCACAAATACAACAACGTGTGGGACGTATTTTGCAAACAGCACGTCGATTCTATAAAATTCTAACACGAACTCGCATGTCAAGTCGACATTCTCTCTCACTTCGCATAAGGTTCAAAATGGCGTTGATTTTGCATTCTGTAAGCATCACCTAGGCACTTGCGAAGTGGAGTGAGCTCCGAATCGGCCAATACTGTACTAGTGTAGTACCACACTACACAAAATGTAAGTCGAGATTTATCGGTTTTTATTTTAACAAGTTTTTGACACAGAATTTTAGATATTATGACGTATAAATTGAAATTTCTTATTTTAAGGAATTTTAGGCAGCTAATTATTACAAAATAAACAGAAAACTGTAAATTCAGGCGATGAATATAATCTGTGCTTCGTTTACCAAAAAGAAACTGACAGATAATGTCTTCATTCATTGTTGACAAACTCTTTGTCATTTGCTTTGTATTATTTTGTCCACGTTTGGTTTATTCGTATATTTTTTCTGTTCCGTGTTTGCCGATAAAAAGAGAGATCATAAACATGAAGTAAGTTTTATTACTGGTTGTAAAGTTCAAAAATAATATTTATTATAGAGTGTTTATTTTGTTTTCTAATCAAACCATAATGTTTCAGTACAAATGAGATACGTTCCTCACACCCGTCGTCATCACAGGTTTTACCTGGCTGGCGAAGGGTTTCTTGAGAACTCAAGGTGCCAGAGATCGAAATCGGCGCTAGTGGAAGAAACTAGCCGTGTGCCTGTGCCTGTATGGTATAGATGGCACTTTCAAAACTTATAAACAGAGGACCAAGGTGAAGTAAGTAGTGCTTACTTTGGCATGTTAAAACCATTTAATATTCCTTAATGCAAGCCACTTAAAATAACGATGAATCTTGGCGTGCTCCTTGGTTATATAACTTATTTTAATTTTACATTGACTATTAATAATAATAAAAAGTAAGGCTTTTTTTAATAACTTCTTTATTAATATAAATGTCTGCTTGTAGTATTGGTCTGAGAAAAAAGCGCCATAAGAAGCTTAGCAGCTAGGCGCAGGACAGGACTGGTGTGGTGGAAGATGAAGTTGAGCTATCAGAGGTTGAAGAAAGAACTTAATTTTTGGAACAAACGACAGCGAAAAGCTGCAATTTGTTAAAGAGTTTTTATCAATGCACATATTAATCGGTGTTCTCTTTTCAGTATCACGTCACACATCTTCAGTTGCTGCTCCTCCAACATCAAAACGGCGAACGGAATTCTCCAACATCACAGAGAGATTCCTGAAGGTGGAAGAGTAGACGATTTCAAATCAATTGGAAGAATTTACAAATATCAAATGCGCAGATCTTGCAAGCATTTCTGAAGAGAAGTCTAGGGAATGATTAAATTTTAGCTGGATCTGTAGTTTCAATCTGGAATGGATTGTGAGCATTGGCAGAGGCCATGCATCGAGATAGGGTGTAACAACGAAGTTGTGTTTTAGTGTTTAAGACGTTTCAACCAAATTTTTTTTTATATTTAAATTAAACAATTTTAACGAGTACTAGCAGTTTTATTAGTTAAAGACCCATCCTCACATATCACTATTTATTTATTTGATTTTAACTCAATTGTATATTCAAACAATTATGGGATACAATAAATTAACTAGGGTCTAACAATTAGGCTCGTAAGGCTAAATTAAAAGAAAAAAATGTAATAAAACAATGAAATCACTCGCATAAAAAAATGTGGAAAAAATAAAATCATACAAGACCCTAATTGAATTAAAATCAAAATAAAATTAAATAAAATCATAATCATATTTTTTTGTCAGGGGAAAATCATCATATCACTTCTCCCGCCCAGGGTAAGGCGAGATAGTGTCAGACTCTTACTGACTAAAACCCCCCCGTTCCTTCTCCTGCTTTAGGCCGTGACCGTGGCACCTCATTGCGCTTGCCCCACCACCGTGGCTGAACATCAGCCCTGTAGGGCTCCGTCTGTGGTGGTCTATTGGCTCTTTGAGGCACTATATTTTGCCTACGTCCTAGATTTAAACCTGTATTAGATGGCAAATTCCTAGTTTGCTTCCTTTGAACTTCAGCAATTGTACATAATTTCGTCTCTAATTGTCCTCTCTTCAAAATTGCGAGCAGTAATATGCATGGATGTTATTTTAAAATGCTTCTGGGGAATTGGCTTCAGCACCACTAATTGTGTCATAAAGTAGGCACGTTGAGCATATCCTGAATCACCTGAAAAAAATCGAATGACTATCTAGTACTTATACTATTTTAAGTGTGCGAAGGCCATGTTTCGGCACGAATGGGTCGGCTCGACCGGAGTGATACCACGGCTTCACAGAAAACTGGCGTGAAACAACCATAGCGTTGTGTTTCGCCGTGTGAATGTGTGTCAAAATCTCCAAATCCATAATCCCCAAAAGGTCGGCAACGCACTCGTAATCCCTCTGTTGTTGCGGGTATCCATTGGCGGCGCTGAATCCTTTCTATCAGGTAATCCGTTTCCGACCAATCACATATAAATAAAACCTAGTAATTAGACTTATATATTCTGAAGTAGGGACATAACTAACCAGGTAATACATGTTATGAACTATACCATACCAAAGTCCTTTGCCTCGCCGTTTTGTGGGTTTTATCAAAGGCCTCATCCTCCAGTTGGTCAATCAGCTCCATTGCACATACACGCTCACATAGTCGTCATCTCAGGTTAATAAAGACAAACTTCGAATGGTGCTAGATTGTCGTCGCATTTCTTGTTTATCTAAAGCATGAGCTTCTTCTAACAAAGATTTTACCAAAAACATTCTTGCCATCGTTATCGTTTTAATAGGTAAGCACTTATTCACATTGTTACTTTCAAAACTTAATTTGAACACTATCTAACTATTATTTCTTCCATTTTCACTCGTAAAATAGATACTTTTAATTTGACATTTTGAATCTTGTTCTAGTTCGAAGTGAGCGTCGAAGGGACGGGGCAATTACATTATAGAATACGATTTTCAACGTTATCTCATACTTTATCTGTCAAAATGTTGCGGTCAATTTAGTTCAACTCGTAAACACACTCGCAAGTGTAGCGCTAGCATAGATTCGAGTTAGGAATCGAGTTTTAGAATGCCAATCAAGAAACTCACCGCGGATTCAGATTCGAAGTTTAGAATGAAGTCTTACAGAATCACACCCCAGAACGATAATCATGCAAATCAAGTTCGGGGCCTACGATACGTCGAGTTCTTCGAGTATAACCTTGGGCGCGTGTCTAGCTAACATTCACGTAGGTGTAGATAACTAAGCAAGGGCACTAGGCCCTTATCAACGGAACTTGGCCGCATATGGCGCAGCTAATTGACAAACGGGTAAATATGTGTAATTAGCGGAGTGCGATACAACATGTTCACAGGGACGGAAAAATTCTGTCACATTATGAATTTTTATCAGAGTTTAGATATCTGGAATATCAATGTCAACGTGTATCATTAATATAAATTAGATGTGTCATCGTTTTATCGGGAGATCGATCGATAATGGCGTTTACTACGAGCACTGTTTGTTTTTATTTGCTGAGTTATTATAGGCGTACTTGTAGGTGATGGTAATGTTGTTCTCAGTGTATTATCTCAGTGTCAGGTATGTAAACACTACGTTCGCCTGCAACGATGTTCAAGTGGTATAAACGCACGACTCAACAGACATTGTGGCTTCTAACCCCTCACGTCGCATTGACCTATTTCCTTGGATTTACTCTTCGTCTTGCGTGGGATGACAAATATATTGGTGTACAGAGGATTGGATATATTGTTCGAACCTACACTATAATAATAGCTAGTCTATTTTAGATAACGAAGTCTGCAATTTACCTGAGCTGTATAGGATGTAATGAAAACTTTTCACGATAATCTCTGAATTATTGACTAACTTTAAACCTAATTGAATATTTTTTGACATCCTATATTTAGTTTATTTTTATTGTACTTATCTTGTTTTCACTTCGTAAATTAAGTTTTTTTTGTAAGTTTCATTTTATGCGAATGTTGTGCACATCTATTATTGACACTAACTTTAAAATAAGACCTATAAAATGTAAAATAACCATGTTTGTGTTTGTGTTGTTGATTCGCCTTAAATAGATAAAAGTAATTTGCTTTTTTGGTAAGGATTGAATAAAATCAGTACGTTTTATAGTTCGTGAGCATAATTTTATATTCTTACTTTTTAACACCAAGTCTAGGTAGAGAGCCAGATGCACGTGGAAATTTATTTCAATCAAACTTCGCAACAACAAAATAAATCAGCTAAATGAAAACATTTGAACAATGTTTCATAATAAAATGGCTGCATATTAAAGTTGAACAGTTGTGAACGTGTTAGATAGTTAATACTTTGAATAGAACTATTATAATGGGGAAGTTATTTCCTTTGTCATACAGTGTGGCTAGTTAGATCGCTCATTATTATCAGATATATTTCCGCTCGTGTTGATTGCGCTATTGTGTTCACACCTTCATCTACACGGCAACAACGGGGACTGGAAACAAGGCCCTGGGGACTGGGAATAGAACACAGGGTACAGGAAAGAGGAATTAGGGAACTTGGAACTTTTACCGAGGCTGTTACAATCGTTTCCTCGTTATAAAAGAATTTATACCATGATTTTTTTATGTAATTGGTCGGCAAACGAGCAGACGGATTACCTGATGGTAAGCAATCAGCGCCGCCCATGGACACCCGCAACGGAGGAGTTACGAGTGCGTTGCCGACCTTTTAGGGATTAGGGATTGAGGAGGGATTGGGGGCGGGGAAGGA